ACACTTAACCACTACACCAAACTGGCTCTCAAAGTCCGCACACTTAACCACTACACCAAACTGGCTCTTAAAGACGAACGAAGTCTGCGATGGGGAGGAGCTTTCCTGTGCGTCACTGCTCACGGCTTCGGCTACGTTCTAGCGGTATCTGGAGCAGTGAGCAGTGACGCACAGGAAAGCTTCCGCCCTACCCCACATTTTGTTAGTTTTTAAAATGCTACCGGATGGACTCTTGCTCTTTTCTACAGTAAAAAAAATGGGGCCCTTGTCTGTTAGCTGGGGCCGGTGGACAATTGGGAAGGTGCTGCGGGCTGCTATTGTAATCAGGTCTAAATGTCCTCTCTTTTCTTTCTCTCTCTCTCTCTTTCAGTTGGTCTCTGCCTATGGCGATGTCCATCATCCACCGTGGGACTGGGGTCGCAATGAGTCTAGGTACTTGCATCGTCTGTGTCTTGCCCATTAAGTACTGTTCCCATGAAGGTCCCGCAGTTAGGGACATCTGTGGGTCGTCTGCTGGCTCCACTTACTCTAGGATTAAGGTGGCATTCTTTGCTGGTGGTCTCCATAGAGTGATACTCCCAGAGCCGGCAGCAGGGCTGATGACGATGGTATTATTCCTTAGCAAGAGTCCACAAATTCTGCCTGCAAGCTAGAAAAACAGACACAGAAGGAGAAGGGGAGGGAACGGGAAAAACTGGAGGGTACATTATACCTGTGGCGTGGTGTTTAAGAGCAGGGGAACTGGGTTTGATTCCCCACCCTCACAAGGTGCCTGTTGTGGGGAGAGGAAGGGAAAGGCAATTGTAAGCCATTTTGAGACACATGAGGCCTGCAGAGTGACCTCGGGCCAGTCCCAGTTCTCTCAGGACTCTCTCAGCCCCACCTGCCTCACAAGGTGCCTGTTGTGGGGAGAGGAAGGGAAAGGCGATTGTAAGCCGCTTTGAGACAGATGAGGCCTGCAGAGTGACCTTGGGCTAGTCACAGTTCTCTCAGGACTCTCTCAGCCCCGCCTGCCTCACAAGGTGTCTGTTGTGGGGAGAGGAAGGGAAAGGCGATTGTAAGCCGCTTTGAGACTCCTTAGTGTAGAGAAAGCAGGGTATAGAAACCTACTCTTCTTCTGTGACTCTCAAACTGTAGGCCACTGTCAGCTTCTAGTGATTTGCAAGCGGCCGAGGCAGAGGAAAATGCTAAAGACCTTTCCTGGCGTAAACGAAGGAAAGCCTGACTCCTTCTGCCATCGGATGTCGCTGTACCAAATGTGTGGCTGAGTTAGAAGTACCCCCGGATAGCAGGAAGGCTTTGTTAAGTGTGTCCCGCGTTACTGATCCGTTTCTCGGGTGAAGTGTTTGCCATTGCCAAACGTCTCAGGGACACAGCCCGCACGCTTCCCCTGCTCAGCTCTTCCGTCAGGGCAGGCAGGGCTAGAAAGGAAAGCTAGGCGTTTGCACCTGAGCTGCACAAGGGAAGTGCTTCCTTACACAGGCAGAAGGGTCTGGTGGGAAGTGCCTTTCTAGGCCGTGACCAGTCATGCGGGGAGGGATGTGGGACAGTGCAGAGTCGGGGAACCATTCTTTTTCAAGGGAGAGCCCTGCTGGATCAGACCAGTGAGGCTCCACGTAGTCCAGCATCCTGTCTCACACAGTGGCCCCAACCAATTCTTTGTCAACTCTCTCCAACCCAGGCGTGATTTTCTAAACTTCCATCATGTCCCCCCTTAAAGCAAGTTTGGTGTAGTGGTTAAGTGTGCGGACTCTAATCTGGGAGAACCGGGTTTGATTCCCCACTCCTCCACTTGCACCTGGCTGGATGACCTTGGGCAAGCCGTAGTTCTTGAAAAAGAGCAGTTGAAAAAGAGCAGTTTCTGTCAAGAGTTCTCTCAGCCCCACCCACCTCACAGGGTGT